CTCAACCTCACACACCTCATCCCTCTCCTCGCATTACTGCGCCGCTAACAGCTGTTAGTGGCCAGCGGCACTACTGCCGCATAACAAAGTCCCAGCGACTTTAAACAGTGAAAAATGTTTCAATTAAGTTGACTCTCACCTACTGTATACTGACGTTCTCACCTAACCTTTGAATCTGTGACGCAGGCAGAATCTAAATGTATGCTCTCATGAAAACCTTTCATTTTTATCTTGCGGAGGAATAACTTACAGTTTAAGTCTCACAGACGTATTCCAAAACATCTTTTTGTTTTATCTGTGCCCAGCCTCATGTTTTTTTAACCTTTGCCTTCTCTGAAGCAACCACCGCTGCTACACCAAGACCTTGTTTAGTGTAGATATAGTTAAGGCCTCCATGGAGCATGAACCCTGGAGCAATGACTGACAAGCCTGTAATAATCAATTCTCAAGCATGCTGTTCCAAGGCGATACTTCATCTGAGCTTCCCGAGCTGAGCTTTGAATGCTTCATGGAAATTTACTGACACCATGAAATCCAATTAAAAATGCATTTGGACATTGATCACCTGATGCACCCAGATTGATTGCCGCTCAGAAAGCAACCTTGTAGTGTTTTTTTTCGGCCAGGGCCCATTCACCTCTCCGTACCATATAAATGTATTGATCCGTACACCCACTCTTGGATCCATACGAACCATAAAACATCCTTTCAGTGTTTCTCCATCCATTTACGTGACTCACTGCAGATTCCTATGAGCTAAAAATGGCCATCATACTGCTTAGCAGACCAATAAGCTTTGAGACGCCACTGCAGATCTACAGCATAATGAAACCAGGTGAAAATGTCAAGTTAACTATCCATTTAAAGGCGCTGTTCATCAAACTAATCTCCTAGATGTCTGAGCCTGATAAAGAATATAAAGCATTCAAATGTTCACAAACAACTTGAATAGTTGGAGGGAGGAACACTTCATCACAGATGGAGAGACATGTTTAATTCAAAAACGTATAAAAGGTCAATTTGCACTTTTCAATCAGTGGTATTCACACATTCTCATTTAACACAACTGCAACCAGGGAAAAAACGACACGCTATCTAATGCTGTTTGTGTGGTACAATGAGTGTGAGAGAATAAATTGAATGGCAGTGAATAAGACGCATTTGTATGCAAAATTGCCGAGACAGCCCAGAGACAGAGCTGCGGGCAGACGGACGTGCATGTAATCGGGTATCAAATCAGCTCATCTCCTGTATGCTCTGTCTGCGCCGTGTTGAGGGTGGAGGGGCAGGTGAATGGTGGGCGCTATTGTCTCTGAGCATCAGTCCACATGAATGACCCAGCCTGTGTCCACATTAGCACGGATCAACTCCCGTGGGTATCATCTCGTCAGAAAACAGCAGCTACAACACATTCGGCCAAATAACCTAACTTCCATATCCGGTAAAAGCCGCACTTTCTCTCAACCTTCTGACTTTCGGCCAACTCAATCAATCTTTCCCTTCGCTTTTCTTCCTCTGAAAGACTGCTCCACTTTCCACCTTTCCAGCGTGTTCTCCTTCCAATCTCTCCATTACGCCCACCTCTTCCCTGCAGTAATATTCTTCACACTTTGCATCCGTCTCTCTCCCTCCATCTATTTTCTGATTTCTCCTTCTCCATCACCTTCTCCATCACTCACTCTCTCTTCATTTCTCAGTACAATTCCCTTTACTGCAACTAAATATCTACAAACCTTACCCTGTAGGGTGTCAGGGTTCTCCCCTGCCCTGCAGGGAACCACCTCCAACTCTAGCTCAGTCTGCACACACCCACACAGACCGACCTGTCGGTTAATGAGCCTGTTGAGTAAGACGGCACCTCGACTCAACATTGATCACCGGGCCTCTGTACCTCGAACTCTCCGGGAGGCTATTTGTCAAGGTGATAATTTATTTTGTAGCACAGATATGGTGTGCCGGGGATTGGGTTGTTTTTTCTTCATGTGGTCTAGGGGCCTGACAGACACCATTTCAGGTCCAAATCAGGGCCATAATGTGTAGCATGAAACACGCAGGGCTGTAACTCACCGCGGATCAGCCACAAACAGCGAAAGAAGACTTTCATCTTGCTGAGCAGGCAAGGGAATGGCGATTTAGCAAAGAGACGTGTGGCACATTTTCAAACTCAATTCCCTGCTATTCCTTCCCACGCCCGTGCAAAGGCTTTTAACTCCGGTGTCCTGCTAAGTTGTAAGCATCAGTAGACACACTGTGTGACTTATGGAAGGAGTGGGAGAGTGAATGAGAGCTGTGCTGTTGTTTTGATCATGCTGACATGGGGTGCCCAATTATGGAGATGCGGCCTGTCTAACCAGCGAGGCCACACACCTGATGGGAGGAGGTGGCAGGAGCATGGGACGCTGCTTGTGGGTAGGCGAGGCTACCGCAGTGCACCGCTGCTCCTGCGTGCTCTCAAGATGTTCCACATCTCCCCCCTCTAATTGGCAGATGGCCTCAGATGCGAGATGATTTAATGGCCTGCGTGTGTGTTTTTTCCTGCCTCAGTCAGCCATTAGCAGGGACATCTGTAACGAGTTGGCCAGGCACACTGCTGAGAGTGGAAGCTGAGAGCAACACTTTCTAATGGGGGGTAGTGCGATCGTGACAGACTTAGGCGGTAATCAAAGCACTCTGAGTTATTTCTTTGGGTTATGATAATCGAGACATCTCGCTTTGAATTGTCTGAGGCAGAGGAAAAAGCTTTATTAAACTGTCTGATGTTGTTGACCTCAGAAAAGCTGCAAAGAATCAAACAGCACAGTATTACTGGGTATAACTGTGTGGCAATCCCCTTTTGACTTTCAATACACTGGAACAAGACATTTCTAGCTGCGCGTTATCATAAAAAGCCATTTTCATGGCTTTGGCACAAACAGCTTGGCTTCCAAGTGATCCCATTTCTTGCAGCTGGGCCGTAACCATCTGCGCTGAATGCTGCGCTCAAGGGTAAAACAACCAGAGTTTGGCCCTAAAGGCCTCTGGTTTCTGGCTCTCTGTCACCACCTTCATTTCTTACAGCTCCCTCCTGAGTTTGTCTCTATAACCAGAGCTGGATGAAGGAAGGGGCTGAACAAGTGAGGCCCTCTGTTGGTTCTCTATGTAGACAGAGTTGTGGAGAAGTGGCCACGAGCCTAAGGCCTTTTAAAGCTTGATGGCCATCAGTATTCTTGCCATAGCCTCTGAGGATTTGTCTGCTACCTGCAAACTGGGTCAATTTTTGCATTATTTTAGAGATTTGTATCTCACTGTGGAGAAAAGAAAGGTTTTGCACACGCAGGCATGTAGACCCACACCTGCACTTTGTCTCCCTCTGTTTCCCTCCCTCCCCACCTCTTTTACACACACAGTTTTCTGAATTCATTAATATGAGCACATATTTGTCACTTTAACACATAAATGTCAATTTAAAGCTGCAAAATGTGCTAACACTGTAATGAATGGCTACGCTGAGCAACCTTAACCACGCTGTGAAAATAATTCTAGCCTAAGCACACAGCGAATAAGACTTATTAAAATTGATAGATAGGACTAATACTGATTATGACACTCAAAAACCTGTGCACTTTAACAGAGCTTAAACGCGACTATCAGTTAATATACCACTTCTCTATTCATGCCACACTAACGGGATTAGCTACAGTCATAAATCTAAAATAGTTCTGAATGTGACTCTGCCATTCACACATTAACATTAATGAGGAAAGTGACAGCGCTGCAGCAGCACCTTGACTGTTCCCATCAGGTTTTATAGCAGTTTCTGACTGGAGGAAAACCTTCGAATATTTCAATTACCCCCACATCCACATACATTCAAATGACTTTCATACAATTTCTAATTCTAATCATCTACTGTATGTGTGTACTCTCAGCTGAGAGCCCGGGAGGTGAATGAGGGACCAGGAGCAGATGGGGGGGCGGTAATGAGATGCAGAAAAAAGGGAATTGAGGGGGACAGGCCGGCTGGTGAGACACAGCAGAAAAAAAAAATAAGAGAGGGAAGAAAATAACCAAGTATGAGATACAGAGAGGCGATAGGAGAGACCCGTGTCTGAGGTGCATACAAATGGACAGTGGAGGAACACAGATAGAGGAGGGGGGAGGAGGAGAGGGGGGCAAAGAGGGAGGTTGTGTGAGGAGAGGAGATAAAAGAATGTGAGAAAGATGGATTCACTGTTGGCTAATGAGAAGACAAAGGCAGTGGGATCCACATCGATCTCTGCCCCACAGCAAGCTGGCTTTATAGCTCACAGGTAGAGAGAGATAGGAGAGCCTGGGGAAGCTTACCTGAGGTAAGCAACCTGACTGTTGTAGGAGGAATCCGAGTCCAAGGATAGGCTCAGATGTGTGTGTATGTGTGTTTGTGTTGCATACTTATTCATAGTGAGCATACATGCTGGAGCAGATTTATGGAAGTTTGAGCTGTGTGTGTGAATTATGTATTTGTGCTGCATTTTTTTGGGCAGGTGAGGTGATGGACAAAGTGAAAGCAGGGCAAATGAATAGATGACTGCTTCAGTGAGTCATATTGTGAAGCAGAAGATGGACTATAAATGTGAGATAGAAATCAAATATTTATACAGTAAGCACTCTGCATGCAGGGCGGAGAGAAGGAGCAGTGTAGAAACACTTTCCCTGTGGAGATGCATCAGTGTGCTCTGATTAAATGATGAAATTCAGAAAAAGAGAAATTATTATAGACATGAAAAGAAGCAAAAAATTGAATGAGACAGTTGTTGCCTCCTACGATCAGGTGAATGGATTAAAACTGGGGACATCACTGGCTCATTGTTGGTATTTAATCTCTCTCTGTGGTGTATCAAGGTCTTGCTGCTGTAAACAAAAGAAACACGTCGCTGCAGAGGGTGACCAGCTCACCGCTGTCTCAACTTATCAGCACAGGTGCGCATCAACAAAGAGGAACACAAGTTAATTTGCTGTTACGGCTGCAGGGAGCCACTTACTGTAGGTTAGAGCTGTTCCAGTACACCGCATGCCGGTCGCTGGCTCTCGACAGGTGCAAGTTTGTAAGCGCCAGCGTGATGAGGCTGAGAGAAAACGTTGCGAGAGCCATAATCCCTCCGGTGCTCGTCCAGCCCTGGTTCCCCTCTCTCTGCCTTCTGCGTCCCCGCTCCTTCTCCTTCTGTCCCAGGCGACGTGTCTCTCACAACATCCCAGCGGTCAAAAAACGCCTTGTCAAGTTTCCAGTTACCTTAACAGCGGGTTCTATCAGGGTGACTTCTGAGTGGTTACGTGTTCTTCAACTCAAATCCCATTGCGACGAGACCCATTTGGACATCTTCACTTGTGCCAAATCTACTTCTTTCTTGTGCCGGGCTGCGCACTTTCAGGTCACTCCGTGTTTTGTTTGTCAGTTCTGCTTTCATAAGAGAGGACCAGCACAGGTGATGATAAGGCAATGAGCACATTCAAACACTGACAGCTGAGGTCGGTGTTTACTGTTCTTTGCGCAGCTTTGGAGCCGCTGGATCTCCGTTGAAGGGTTTGTGTACCTTGCGCTCTTCTCAGCAGCAGCAGCAGCAGCAGCAGCCACACGCTGCGCACACAACGCTACAAACCCGCCCTCTGATGGCCGAGATGCGCTCACATGTCCATCTATGCTGCTGCCCCGCCCGCTCCAAAAGTGCACCGTGTGTGCCTGTGTGTGTAGATCAATGTGTCGAGAAAATGTTATCCTCTTAATTAAAGCAGAAATATATGTTTTGACTGGACATGATAAAGGATCCATCGTATTTCAAGGTTAGATTTTAGGTTTAAGATTAAGACACTGATTATGTTTAGGTAAGGATAAATGAGTGTGATGTAAAGGTGAGATTTAGGAGTGTAGTAACTTTCACAAACCATAAAAATATTCATAAACAGCACATGTAACATGTAAAGAGACATTTCAATCTGTAAGTACAGCGTAGGTTAGGTTCCGCGTTTACTTTAAATTAAATTGGGGACACACCAAAAGACTCAAATTCCTCACCAGCTGTGAAATGACTCATTATCACACGTTTAATCATTATCATAGTTAATTAGGCTACAAGCACACTGTTCAAAATCCTGTCAACAAGCAGGAAGGGAAAAAAAGGAAGCTGTTTGATACACAAGTGTTTGACAAATTAAAAGAAAACTCAACTTGATGGTGGCGGAGAGCTGCTGTCCAACACTAAATTACAACCCAGTCATGGGCAGACTATGAGACAATGGGCCCCTGGGCACAGACATGCAAAAGGCCTCATCACCTTTCCTACACCGGAGCAAGACACGTAGGCCTTATAGTTCTTTAGTCTCTTTTTGTTGTTGTGTTGCATCTCTTCATAGTTTTTTTTAATTTTGTCTGTGGTTGTTTTGCCCCTTTGTAGTAATTTAATGGCTCTCTGTGGTCATTTCATGTCTCTTTGCAGTCATTTTGTGTCTCTTTGTGGTTGTTTTGTTTCTCTTTGCAGTCATTTTGTGTCTCTTTGTACTCATTTTGTGTCTCTTTGTAGTCATTTCATGTCTCTTTGCAGTCATTTTGTGTCTTTTGCAGTTATTTTGTGTCTTTTTGCAGACATTTTGTGTCTCTTTGTGGTCCTTTGTGTCTCTTTGCAGTCATTTTGTATCTTTTTGCAGTCATTTTGTGACTCTTTGTGGTCATTTTGTGTCTTATTGTAGTCATTTTGTGTCTCTTTGTAGTCATTTCATGTCTCTGCAGTCATTTTGTGTCTCTTTGTGGTTGTTTTGTCAGTCATTTTGTGTCTCTTTGTGGTTGTTTTGTTTCTCTTTGCAGTCATTTTGTGTCTCTTTGTCGTCATTTTGTGTCTTTTGCAGTCATTTTGTGTCTCTTTGTGGTCATTTTGTGTCTCTTTGTGGTCATTTTGTGTCTTTTGCAGTCATTTTGTGTCTCTTTGTGGTCCTTTGTGTCTCTGTGTGGTCATTTTGTGTCTCTGTGTGATCATTTTGTGTCTCTTTGTGGTCATTTTGTGGTTCTTTGTGGTCATTTTGTGCCTCTTTACAGTCATCTTGTGTCTCTTTGCAGTCACTTTGTGTCTTATTGTGGTCATGTTGTGTTTCTCTGCAGTCATTTTGTGTCTCTTTGTGGTTGTTTTAGCCAACTTCATAGTTGTTGTGAGTGACTTTGTGTCTTTTTGCAGTTGTTTTGTATCTCTTTGTGGCTGTGTGTGTCTCTGTAGTTGTATGTTTCTTTGTGGTTATTTTGAGTCTCTTCCTGGTCTGTGCGTGTCTCTTTGAGTAACATCTTGCAGTTGGAGTGCAGGGGGGAGGTGACACTTTGGGCCCTTGGACCTGTGCTGGGTAGGTCCATTCAGTAATCCATTCATGAACACGATTATGGCCAAATTTGAGATTTTGAAAGATGGCAAGCTATGACTGGTCATCCTGAAGTCTACTCTTTACTTTGGCCAAATCAAAGCAACAGGACTCTGTAATTTCTAATCTGACACTGACCAAGGTGTCTGTTACCTCTGTTAGATTTCTGAGACATTTCATGTCTGAGACTTGCTTTCTAAAAGCACATATGTTTATTAAATCAGTTTCCACATTCACGCAGACACCAAAAGGCATCTGCTGGGGCTGGAAAGAAGAGCCAACTTGGAAGTGCCAAAAACTGCAGTTTGTCAAATGGCCACTTGAGGCTGGCTCTAAAAGCGAGTCAATCCCCATAGACACCAATTCTGAAATGCTCAACTACACAGCAGATAACATGTTTATGGACTGGTATAAGAAATGTTTTGGTCTCTATAGCTTATGCCCCTGTCCATGACAACATGCACGGGTGAATTTTATTTTTTAATAACTCACCTATTTAGATTTTATTAAGGCTTAAAGTTATGCATAATTAATGGTGTGGCTGCTTTGAGTGACAAGCTGTCTGCAAGGCGATAACCACAATGCCAAACTCAAGGCTTCAAAACTGGAATCCACAAACCACAAGGTGACATCATGGTGGCTGTGTCCATTATTTTTACAGTATATGGTACACAATATGCACACTTACGCAGCACTAAACTCGATGTGGTATTTTAAAATGCCATAAAAGACTCTGGACTTTGCTGAAAACATTCAGGACATAAGCCCATAAGGCACCCCTGGCACCATCTCTGCCTCTCTGTAAGTGCTCATACTGCTCTGGGGTTCAATTTGGATGCCAGATATTTGAAATGTATACAAAAGCATGTGTGTAATTATATGATTTCTTTCATTTGCTGGCTTTTTTTAGAGGTATTTATTCCTTAGGTTGATGGAGTGAAGGGTTTTGAAGAAATGAGGTTATTTCACATTCACTATTCAGCAGGGGTTAAGGGTTAAAGCTAGAGCTAAAATTCAGATTAATATTAGAAAATTAATACAGTCAGTGGAAGGCCATCACGAGTATAGTAATAACACACATATGTGAGTAATTATGTGTGTGCGTCCGTGTGTGTTTCCCTGTGAAATACAGACTGAGGGAGAGTGCATGAAAATTTGGAGACTTTAATTAACCTGTTTAATTTCGCCTGTGGTGGTTTAACCACTCTATCTAGCCTAACGGCAGCCCGCAGTATTAATGGCTCAGTTAATTCCAAATATTAAGCATTAGCCTCGGTTTGATTAACTCGGCCAATTTCATATCTCATAATAGTGTCCTTTTTGGAGGGGATATCAGTGATATTCACACCCATAAACGTGGTCGTAGACGCTGTTGGTGAAACTTTAGCTGAGCGATCCAAACATTAATCTGAATGACCTCCAATGATGAATGAATGTTCATTACACTTCTCAGCCGAGTCCCTGAAGGTCATATTCACACTTCTTTGAGTGAGGATAGGTAGCCGAAGCCAGTTGTAGATCCGCTGCCTACTTTCTCCCCTCTCTGCTCTCATTCATACACACAGTCTGTCTAGTTTGCTCTCGTTTGCTCTCACTCACTCCCTTCCTCTCTGTTGTTTCTGTCAGCGATGACGCCTCTCTTGAGTGCCCTCCAGGCATGTTGCCGTGGTGACTGGAGTAAAGGGGCGGATGAAAGAGCAAGTACCATCACTTTTTTTCCCTCCCAACTCTCCCTCTCTTTGTCCCACCACCTATCTGTGCGGCTCCAGTGGATCACTCGCCTCCATCCACTCTAACATTTGTCATCCTTTTGTTGCCTCGCACTCAGGAGGAAAGTGCTGCATATAAGAAGCATATTCTTACATTTCTTCATGAACTGATGATCTCTCGCTTCCTGGTGTGTGCACCGACCACACAGTGCCAATGAAAGTGAGATGAAAATATAGAGAGTGACATTTAATATGTTTCCCGGACTCATCTCAGCCAGTAGTGGCACAAATGCATATTTATGATGTGCTTTGTGTGTATGAGTGTGTATTTTGAACATGTGACTGAATGAGGCTTCCTAGTGTCATAAGTTATTGAACACAGTTGTTCTCTCGACTCTGTACCATGTGATGCGCTGTTTATGTATGCTTATTGCCTCCTGCAGGCTCTGCAGCAGCCGTTTGTATTTTGTAATAGGCATCGGCACACACTATAGTAACAGCAAGCATGGCTCGTTACCTTGACTCTGAGTCTGTTTGTGATTAATTCATGAACAGCAGCTATGGGCATATTGATTATTCATATAATTTGTTATCATCAATCAGCCTCAACACTTTCATATATCCTTGTTGACTTCATATTGATTTCCTAACCGACTTCATTCCTGGCGTAAGCAATATTCCAGGAGAAAATGCGTTGGTTTCTACCTCAGTGGGATTTCTTTATTCTTCCTCCTGGCTTCTATCTGTGCAATCTCTAATTTCCTACGCCCACCTGTTCCTCCTTTCCCTACGTGTTGTTTCAGACTAATCTCAGCTTTAATGTTAATGGATTAAAATGAGGTTGCCTTGATTGAGTTTAATGTCCAGTGGCGGTGTCAGTAAACAACAATTCATTTGATTAATCAGTTAATCTAGTGAAATGTCAAACTTGAATATAAAGTAGTTGTGACAAAAATAACAACAGAGACAGAAGCCTCTTGAACTTGGAGATGTAGACAAATAAACATCTTTGTGTGAAAGTGTAAAAATGTATCTCTGGCCTGCCGCCTGAGCTCAGCATTGTGTCAGCAAACTGTGCTGACACAGTTGCCTCGCCAACTTCCTACATGCTCCCTTCTTTACTTCTTTCATTTTACTGTGAATCTGCATTTTTAAACCCTTAAAGGTCTCCTATGCAGGAATTGTTGCTTACTGTTTGTAACATTCAAATTTGGCCCCTTCCTCTCTACGCTACATGTACTTACTCTGCAAGTTACTACGGAACTAGGGATGTCAACAGTTAACTGTTAATCGGTTAACCGCAGAGAATACTTTTGACCAGTTACGCATGTCGGTCTGTCTGTTAATGTTGTTATTTTTCAGTTACTGCATTGCACACCAACTAGGTCTGGTGGGAACTTGCTAGCAGCGCCACTCTTTCAGCTACTACCAGCTTTGTTGACTATGTTATCACTGTTTATTTAAGGCTTGACACTTTTGAAGAGTGTCACTGCACAAAAATTAAACAGTCAACATTTTAAACCAAATGCTTCGGTGGTTTAAGTCATC